AAACAGCAAGATTACCGAGATGAGACCTTTGGTAAAAGAACTGGTGTAAACTTCATTTGGTCTCTTGGCGGTCCAGGTATAGGGACCATTGATTCCATGGTAGTTGGGATAGAACCAGTTGGGCCAGAGGTGGGGGAAAGCGCAAATTAGAGATGAATCACGAGCAGAGCGCTAGAAGCAAGCTCTTCCGCGACAGAATTGGTGACGAGTTCCAGAAGGGTGAACTTTGGCTACATCCAATGCGCAAGCGGGTCTTGCGAGTCCGCGGAATGAAGGGGTGATATTGCAATGAGCTATATCGAAGGAGTGACATGGTGATGTGCTGCCCGACACGAAAAATAATGAAATACATACACTGGTGTAGGATAGATAGTCAGATTTGAGTGCTAGAAAGCACCAGCTGTCGACTGGATGCGATGGAATACATTCTGGCGGCTATAGAGACCAGAGTTGAATGCATATATGCACTGAGGTGCTGGAAGGGTATATACCATCGAGGACGGCGGGTATAATAATAGGGTACATTCTTGCCGTAACAGTGATGGAGCGTGGAGGCTGAGCAACGAACAAGATTGACGCGCAAAAAAAAACACAAAACACACACCTCTGGATCCGCACCTAAGAGAACGACACCCACCCTCCCTCCAAAGTCCACCTCAACCGTGCTCGATACCATCAACCTCCAGTAAAATGTCGAACCTTATTCCAATCACTATACCCCTGCAAAAGTTCAGAGGTCATGGAGACTGCGTAATGGCAGTCGCAGTGTTCCCCGATAACCAACGGCTGGTTACGAGCTCATGGGACAAGACACTTATGTTATGGGACTTGAAGAGAGGTGTTGTGTTGAAGAAGATGGAGGGGCATTACAGTGAGGTGGGGGCATTGGCGGTATCGCGAGATGGGCAATTGATAGCAAGCGGTGATCTCAAGGGAGAGGTCATCGTCTGGCATGGAGAAACTGGTGAATCACTCATCAAAATCGAAGCACATTCCAATTGGATCACCTCACTGGATTTTTCTCCCGATGGAACAGTGCTGGCCATTAGTGCATATGACAAAACCACGAAACTGTGGAACACCAAAACCTGGCAGCAGCAAGGAAATCCAATCGAGTGTGGTAGTGATATTAAATGTGCACGGTATTCACCGTCCGGAGAACTGCTTGCCATCGCAACAAACCATAATATAGAGATTTACAATTCAGACACAAGGAAACGCGTCGCAAAGGTCAAGGGTCACGCAAAATACAACTCTTCACTCGCATGGACACCTGATGGCACATGCCTTCTCACAGGCGGCGGCGATTCTACCATACATGAATGGGATACAACAACCTGGAAACAGGTTGGTGATCCCTGGACGGGCCACTTTGACTATACTATCAATGCTATTACCGTTAATCCCACTGGTTCACTCATCGCTTACGCATCTGATGATAATCATGTCCATCTCTGGCGGCTCTCAGATCGACAAACCATTGCCACCTTCAAGCTCTCATTTGCACTGAAATGTGTCATCTTCACCGTGGACGGTAACTACATCCTTAGCGGTGGTAGCGATAACATGATATCAGAGTGGGCAGTACCTCACATTATGCATCCACAGGCATGTTTCCATCCTTGACTCATATATCACAATTACTCGAGCATGTTTCGTGCAGGTCACGACAGCCCGCGAGGCGTGCATAAATGGAGATTTTTCTACTGCCGAAGAACTACTCACACAAGATATCAACAGTGATCCGAACAACCATACTTTCTACGCCCATCGTTCATTCGTTATGGCGCGAAAATACGACTGGGACCGTGCCCTTCAGGATGCAATCAAGGTGAGATTCACTGACCCATCATGGCCCCCTTATGAATAGCTAACTCGACTGTGACAAAGTCCATCAGCATTCAACCTTCATTGTCAGGCTATATTTCCAAGGGCATCGCCCTTTGCGGGACAGGCCATGTCCGGAATGCGAGGGCAGCATTTGATGTTGCATCAATGTACACGAACGAAGATTCACATATGTATTCACGAACCATGCACTTCCTGCTCTTGATCAAGGTATGTTACATTTTCCTGACATGCTCTCCGCTTCATCCCATATTCTAGGTCATTGCACTCTTCAATGCAGATCAACATGACGAAGCAAACCTGCTCCTCAAAGAACTCACTACTGGATGTCCGAATCCTGATATTCGCGCATGTCATATCGTGGAGGTAAGGATCATGCAGCCTGCATCGACACTAATCTTCCAACTTGCATATGAAGGCATATCTACGCATTCAACTCGGACTCAAAGCCTTGGATAGCGCACGTCTCGACGAAGCCACTGAGCATTTCACTGCTGCTCTCAACTACAACGCTATGCCATCGAAATTGGACATCCATGAAATTTACGAGGATTTGGTGGTGGTGCGTCAGCATGATGCGTACATGATGCTTTTCATAACTGAGTATTGATCCAGCTCTTCGGCTGGGACATGGAGTCCTCGTGGCAAAAGGCACACCAGAAACGGTGTGATGCACTTTTTCGGGCAGGCAGACTTCAAGATGCCGTAAAATCATACAGATACATGATGGACAACATCGACGAAACAACGAAGGCAAGCTGCCTTGAATGGTCCAACGGCAAGTCTGGAATTCATGATGTCGCCCAGGCTACAATTCTCATCCCCATTTCACTCAGATTTTACGAGAAAATGCAACGCGCTATTTCTTACCAAAGGAAATACTGCCCTCGCTGCAGGCGATTTTGACAGGGCTATTGACCTCTACTCGGCGGTGACCGACCTAACTTCTCCATCATATGCTGTCTTTGCAAAGCGTAGTCAGGCAAAGTTGGGAAAGATGCTGTGGATGGAAGCATTTCTCGATGCGCAGAAGGTGCGATGGCATTTATTGTCCCTTCACCTATGCTCATTGTGGTGATACACAGGTCATCCAACTCAACCCTTCGTCTCATATTGGATACAAGTTGAAGCACGCAGCATTTCATGGTGCCCGGCGCTATGATGAAGCTATTGCGGCCTTCAAAACGATGCTCTCAAAATTGGATGATGCTCCTGACACTGAGACACAAGGTAAGCTCCAATACCTTATACGTCGACATACTTTGACCGCATCTGCAGAGTTGCGCCAGCAGTATCTCAGTCCATCTGAAGCGGACCATGCTATTCGAAAGGTCATCGATGCTCAACTCGACAATGCTCCGCTGCGCTTGCTCGACACCACCACCGGTCTCTTATGCGATCGAGAGGCGCAGATACGCATCTTCAAGTCGAGCACAGAGTATATGGAGCTCTTGTCGTCGACAATCACGCATAGAGACATCCAAGTGAAGCGCATTGAAGAGGTGGTGACGTCATGCTTCCAATATGTCATGCTATCGCACAGGTGGGAAGGCCAGGAGCCGCTGTTGCAGGATGTCCAGGGCAAGGTCGTCTACAAGTTGGATCCGGTTGGCGGTATCAAGAAGTTGCAGTCCTTCTGCAAAACCGTTCGTGATTTGGGGCATCGCTGGGCATGGAGCGACACATGCTGCATTGATAAGAGCAACAATGTTGAACATTCAGAATCGGTCAACTCCATGTTCGACTGGTATCGCCACTCCGCGCTCACTATCGTATACCTCTCGGATGTTCCGCTGTCGTCAAAGCCTGGCGCGCTGGCAAAGAGCGCTTGGAACACACGGGGATGGACGGTTCAAGAATTCCTCGCTCCCCAAGTCATTCTATTTTACCAGAAGGATTGGACTCCTTATCTTGGCGATCGCACTCCCAACCACAAGGAGTCTGTCGCGATTATGCAGGAGTTGGAGGATGCGACGGGCATAGATCGACGAGCCGTCGTGGCCTTCTGTCCGGGAATGAAAGACGCCCGAGAGAAACTTCAGTGGGCGTCGACACGCATTACCACAGTGCAAGAAGACATCGCATACTCGTTATTCGGCATCTTCGGCATTACTCTAGCTGTCATTTATGGCGAGAAAAAGCAGAATGCACTCGGGCGGCTCTTGCAGGAAATCATATCTCAGTCGGGGGATATTACTGCCCTTGACTGGGTAGGAAAGTCATCAGAGTTCAATAGCTGGCTACCTGCCGACATCACTTCATACAAAGCTCCACCATGCAGACTGCCATCTCTATCCGAAGATGAGATTCATTCATTGGTCTCCTCGCTGCGAGGTGTTGTGGCTCTAGAGTCGGCTTCGAAATTATATCAGACACTTGACTACCTGGGCGCTCCCCGTTTCGCGTACCACCGGTTGCATCTGCCTTGCATCGTATTCCCAGTGACAGAAGCCAGGCGGAGGCCAGGTCAAGACCAGGACACATACACGTATGAACTCAAATCGGACGGGCTTCGCAACCTGCAGATCACCACAAAAGACAGGTTCACCCCGTTCTCGCCGGCTAGACCGCCTCCCTCGTGGCAGACGATGTTACTCGTTCGCCCATGGAGTCGCGATCTCCTCGGACTGCGTGACACTGCGGACGATACGCAAAGCGTGGACAATGTGTCCGTGTCCGAATCTTTGTGGCACGATTCACTCCCTGCGCGAACTGGGCCAATTTGTTGGGATTCTCACTCGCGAGCATTGCGATTGATCGTTCGCCTTGGACAGCCTTTTAGTGCATTTTTGCTAGCGCGGCAGCGCGACGGAGAATTCAAGAGGATCGCATCGGATCGCGATATCATTGCACGGGTTAAAGACATGGCTTCTATTAGCTACTTGATGGACATCAGGACTTTAGAGGTACTGTAGCTGCATGAATGCTTTCTTTCAGCAATCTCACACCTGTTCCCGGACCACCCCCGAAAAGCTTGATTGATGGCCCGCGTGTTCCAAATCCACCTGCAATTGCGGTGGATGAGATCGAGCACGGTATGCCCCGGTATACACACAGCAGCGCGAAGGACTAAGGGACGAACTCGGCCCGGGGAGCTCAAAGTTGAACGCCCAAGCCGGAACCACTGTACAGTGTAGACGTCATACATAGAGCTCAATAGGACCAACCGCCAGTAGAATAGAGTAGGTGGTGTCCGACATCGGGCTTCGCCCCGACGCGCAATAAACCAGGATCCAAAAAAATGATGTGATCATTGTGGACCATATTCACTCGAACAAGTACGAGCTTCAAGTTTCATCATACACCAACACAAAAATGACATATATTCTTTGATCTTGTTCAAGGCTGCAAGTACAAATACCAGCCAATAGCAACAAGTTGCTGCCCCGTTATTTATACGATTTAATACAGTCACACCCCGTCGAGAAACTAACAACAGCGATATGAACGGACGTGCCCGCTGCCGCCGCCATCGCGCAGGGTTTACAGACTGGAGACTTACATTTTGTGCACGGGCCGACGAGTTCCACGTAGTTTTCCTTTGCTACATTCTCTGGGGCTTCTTCGGCACAGTCGTGGCAGAGGTTCGAAGCTCTACAGCCACGACATCCCACAAGGTACGAGCATTCACGGCAAAATGGCCTGTCGCAGCGAAGACAACGTAAAAAGAAGCCGCCTTTTTCTGTGCAGAGATCGCACGTCCAGGTTTCCTCGCATAGGCAGGTTGTGCCGCCGACGACACAATCAATACAGATGTCACTGTACCAACAGTGGTGTCCTGCGGCACATGGCCGCCAGCGCATGCAGAACAACGGAAATGCAGCGCAGCTGCGCGAAGGACACATGACTTTTAAACAAACCTTGCATTGGAGAAGGTCTGATCGACAAATATCGCATCGATGACTGTGTCGAGGGTCTGTGCTCTGGATAAAGCCTTCTTTCAAAAGGAGCTCGTGATATTTCTGGTGCAAACGATTTGCATTTAAACAAATAGGTCAATAGTGCGAATCAGCTCTCACCTGCATTTGAACTCGTTCCCACACCTGACCTGCAGGGTAGCTCTCTGGTTCGTCTATTTCGTATTCTGTTGGATCTGGGGTAAACTGAGACCTCACAACGGCGAAATCGCAGATGTCTGTCACGGTCGGCACGAGCTCAGACGGGACGGGTATACGTGATCCTTGCGTCAAGTCTTCGATTTGCATAGACGGTAATATGATAGCAAAGCGAGGAGAAGTCTGGCTGGATAGACCAAAATGGATGAAAAGGCTTGATAGTACAGAAGATTCATCAGATGCTTCTGAATTTTCATAACCAAAGGTTGCGGTATGTTTTCCTTCATGGATCCCCGACGGTTCATTTTGCGGATCCAAAAGCCCGTAAATGGCCTTCATGATGCGAAACAATTTCACAATCATTGGGTGACAATAATGTTGATCAAGGTCCTCCATGGTTGGCGGGATGATTGTCCAGTTAGGCATAGTGAAGCAGAAATCGTGATTGCAAGGGGAAATGGTAATAACTATAGTAACAGTGAGAGGTGTGTGAGATGCGTCGATATGTCTTAATTTGAGGACATGTATAAGCTACAGAAAATGAAAAGATCGAGAGCAAAGAGGGTACTTACAAGATCGCGTATATATCTTGTGCGCCACTGTGCACGCAACCAGTAACTCCAGCGTGGTTGCGATGGGATATTTAGTGATATCAGCCAGCTACAGAGAATCCAGAGTTCACGGCATCCACCACAAAAGACGACAGCTATCGCAGCGAACTCGTGAGTACTTATGCCTACGATCTAGTAGGTTGGAGGCTGGTGTAGGAAACAATATGATCATGATCATAGTCCGATCAGGTTATTTGACCCTGTTTGTTCCATTATCCATAGCAAGCTTGCATTTGCTCGGTCGTAACTTGTCTAGCTGTATATCATGTCCTCAAATCTGCTGAAACTTCCGGACAACATCGAACCAGTGACCGATGCAGACGAGGAGGTCAGCTTAATTCAATTATATCATGAATCAAATGTATACCGTCGCAGATCTTCCTCGTATACACAGCTCTAAACCAAAAACCACTCGACCAGACAGGACCAGATGGGTTCCATGGCCTAGGACACGTTGATTCTCGCCAAGACACCCTTTCCATCCGATTTGAACTCACCGCTCCATCACAGCCAACATCCTCGGGAGCCGCTGAATCTAAATCGGCGTCGAGATCACGGAAGGGCAAGTCTGCGAGGAAAACTCGCGGTGAAGAGACTTCACATGTCATCGAGATTGAGCTTGCGCAAGACAAAACTGCACTGCGCAGTCGAAAAGGAGATACTGGGAGTGTCTTGTGGCGAGCGAGGTAGGATCATGCCGCGTACTTTGTTCGCTAGACAGATATCCGACGAGGTGATGGTAGCATTGCGTTCGCTCAAGTTATCCTGCAACAGCATCGCTTCCCTCCAAGCAACCCATTAGTCGATAAGGATCTGCTTCGAGAGAGTCATGTACTTGAGTTAGGGTGAGTTCCGACGTTTGTGGTTGCTGTTTTCATTGACCCTGATCGGTTGGATAGTGCAGGCACAGGTTTGCTTAGCATTGCGCTTTCTGCATGTGCAAAGAGCTACACTGCAACAGACATCGCGCCCCTTCTCCCACTTATCCGAAAAAATGTTGCTCTTAATTTCGCGGGTTGGATGCAAAACACAAAACCTCCAGAGGGGTCACCAGGATCGAATATCTCCGTGGAAGAACTAGACTGGGAAACACTGTTGTCCTTGCCGCCAACCAGGCGGTCACTCTATTACCCCAAGCCACCTGAGGCCAACGCCAAGTGGGATCTCATCCTGATCGTTGATTGTATCTACCACCCTTCGCTTCTTCCCGCACTCGTTGAGACAATTGAGACTGTCTCAACTGCAGGGAAGACGTGGGCGTTGGTGATCGTTGAACTGAGACAAGAAGATGTCGTTAGGGAGTTTCTCGAGAGATGGTTGAACAAGGAGACTTGGCGGTTGTTCAGAATGGACGGGTTTCTGGATTTGCCTTATATAGTTTGGGCTTGTCAGAAGTATGCTTGATTATCGGGCTGTTCAAGATGTTGAATGCAGTGCTTGTCGGATTATTCGGATGATTGGAAAAGATTTACCTTCGGATCCAACAAGCTCCAGCCTCGGTGCCTTGCACAGCCTGAGTATGAAGTCATGAAGACCGACGATGGGCTAGGCCTTCCTAGAGGTTATGCAAAGGGCTGTAAGATCGACGACGTGGGTCTCCCTAGAGGACTGCGTTGCCCTACTCTAGATGGGATGTAATAATGTTGAAATTGTTAAACACATTTTGTTAAGTAGTGGGATCAGTTTCGTGAAGTTTTGATGACGACCAAGGCGCTGACTAAAATGTCTTGGAAAGCGGCAGCTTGGCGGTCCATCCGCAGCACATCTCTCACTTTAGTGCTTTAACCGCTGTGCGAGCACACAACCACGTTCTTTCTCTCCCTGAACACTGCCTCTTTCAAATATTGTATATCGTATATTAAGTTCCCGTTTTCATCGCTTTTCAGTCACCTCGCAATGCTTTCCTCGTCGACACTCGCACTGTCTTGCCTCCTCATCGTCTCACCAAATGTTTTTGCTGCCCCAAGTTTAGTCCCGGCTGCTGGCCAGTCCATCCCCCTCGTCCGAAGAGCCCAACCTGAACGAACCGTCGCTGAATGGGAAACGTGGGCTAAGAACGAACGTGAGGTTCTCACTGCCAAGTATGGGGGAAACATGGAGAAAAGGAGTACTGGAACAAATTTGTGAGAATGGGTTCTTAAGTAGATTTATTTTGCCCTCGCTGATCACTCCACAGGTTAACCAACCAGAATGCGGATTCAAGGTCGGTCGGCAGTTCTCTACCGCAGATTAACTCATTGAACGCTTCCATTTGACACAGTTATTTCGGAACCGTGGCCATAGGCACTCCACCAGTCTCCTTTAATGTCATCCTTGACACCGGCTCGTCGTGAGTCATCTATCCCTGACAAAATTTCCGACTGTATTCATTATTGTCTACGAATTAGAGATCTCTGGGTCGCAGATCAAGCCTGCACCACCGGCTGCTCTAAAATTCAGCTATACGATGACCTAAGCTCATCTACTTTCCACAATCTTTCTGAGCCCTTCAACATTCAATACGGTTCTGGCGCTGCAGAAGGTACATTAGGTCAGGACGTTGTCCAGATGGCTGGGTTTTCTGTTCCCAACCAGGTTTTCGCTGCTGTCACGCAAGTGACGTCGGGCCTTCTGGGGCCACCCGTGTCTGGTTTGTTGGGCTTGGGATGGCAGAGTATAGCTAGTTCGAAAGCGACGCCGTTCTGGCAGACCTTGGCAAGCTCTGGGGCTTGGTCAAATCCAGTCATGGCGTTTCAGCTCACCCGGTTCATAAACGGTTCGAACGTTAACACTGAGGAACCTGGTGGATCGTTCACTATGGGTATGTCATCTCTTCTCGCAGTCTGTTTACAAGTTGACGGACTATCGCTAGGCTTTGTCAACAGCAGTCTTTACACCGGCAGCATCGATTATCAGGCCATTCCCACGACGCCATCTTATTGGATTCTACCGATGACATGTAGGTTTATCCGTTGCTCAGCTTTGCAAAGTTTGACGTTGATTGTCTCCAAGCGTTAACCGTCCAAGGAAGCTCTATCTCCATCCCCTCCGGTTCTTCATCCTACTCCGCTATCGACACCGGGACCACTCTTGTTGGCGGACCTTCTAGTGTCATCCAAAGCATCTTCGCACAAATTCCAGGTTCGCAGCCCGGCACAGGCAACTGGCAGGGCTACTATACCTACCCCTGCACCACCGCCGTCAACGTCGCCATCTCATTCGGCGGACCCAGCTGGCCCATCTCCCCCGCCGACTTTCAACTCACAAAGATCAGCTCCTCCCAATGCGTCGGCGCATTCTTTGAACTGAACACAGGTGGTACTGCGCCAAATTGGATCGTTGGCGATACTTTCCTCGTAAGCTTGCTTTTCTGCTGCTTAAACGGTCAATATGCTCACTTGAAGTGATCGTAGAAAAATGTTTATTCGGTTTTCCGGTACAACCCCGCTGCTGTTGGTTTTGCTGCGCTCTCGAATACCGCGACTGCTATGAACGGGGTTAATGCTGCTCCTCCTTCGGCTACTATTGGTTCGGTCTCAGCTAGTGCGACAGCGGGCACGGGAGGTGGATCTAATTCTGCCCCTCACCGTTGGGATGTTCCATGGGCACCGCTTGTGGGTGGTATTTCCGTCGCTATCGGTGCTGCGTGGATGTGAGATGCCTTGCATGTTCTTTGGATTAATTAGGGGTGCTGGATAGATGTGGACTTGGTCCGGGACTTTTACTGATCATATTTTTATCCACAAGGGACTCGACAGGACAATGTCGCTACACTACCTACGAGTTGTATATTTAGCCTATCAGTACGTTATGGACTGTTGTATATTGAATTAATCTCTTTACGTTGCTTTGATGTCGATTTTAGCAGTTTGGAAACATGCAGTGGATAGATTGGCGAGACCAAGTGGCAGTATAGCTTCACGAACCTTCTGATCATAGTTGAACCGTGTTTATTTGCATGAATATTGACAAGAGAATCAGCCATACATGACTATCACAAGTCTCATCTCCCTAGACACCGCCTTGAGCATCCATAGCGACAGGTTCCCCTCCCTCGGTATCATTGACCGGTGTGTCGTCAAAGCTATCCACCGCGTCGCTCATGCCGCCAGACACGTCGCCAAAGCTGTCGGATACGCTGCTGTCCATGACAGGGCTGGAGGAGCCGGCTGTCATACCTTGGGGTATTGGTGTATCAAACGCAGATGAGTCGGACTGTGCTAGTGGCATCTCCGAGTCCGTGGGGGCAGTTGCCAGTGTATTTCCAGAGGGAGGGCTTCCCGCAGTGTTGACCGAAGTTCCGTGAGCGTCCGAGTCGCTGCCGGCGGGAGTACCGGTCGACGTGGGACCAGCTGTAGTACTTCCATGAGTCTCTGAAGGAGATGGGGTGGCAGGTGAAGTAGTAGTCGCAGGAGTTGTCGAAGGACTAGTAGCAGCGAAAGAGCTGGCATTCTGATCACCGGACGCTGGAAGAGCGCCTCCTGGGGTGGTTGTGTCGAGCATGCTGTCATTCTCTGCCGGATCTCCGAGAGCGTTGGATAAGTAGCTGCCTTGCTGACGAGCGAGCAGGGGTGCAGAGGATGAACGACCGCTGGACTTGTGACATAAGAGTAGGAAGTCGGTGAAAGCGCGCTCAGTGAGTCCAGTGGGTGGGCGAAGTTCTCGTTTGCCAAGGAGGACGAGGGCATGACGAGGGTTTGGATAAGCGACGCCTGCGATGACGCAGGAGGATGACTAGTAGTAGGACAAGCGAATAGAATGAGTAGTACACCTTGATGGATAATTGGGGACTTACATGTTGGTGGTGGGTGGGGAATTTGAAAGGCACTGCAAGCACGGATGGGAGTATGAGACTGAGAGTGAAAAAGGAGCGCATTATGAACGAATGTGGGGTAGTCAAGTGAAAGTCGGGGACCAAAGGTGATGAAGGTCGGAGAACGCAAAGAGCGAGTTTTTGTATGGCTGAGCTTGGTGGCTGACATGGACTGGATCATTGGCTGACAGAATTCCCGGAGTGTTACTGTAGACCTGCACGTCCCTGCAGTAAATTATACTCAGAATAAACATTGAATGTGAGGCTCGATGCCAAAGATGTTCTCAGACGTAGTTCGTATTTGCACTGGGGAAAGTATGTGGAATCGGCTCGTCATTGCAAGGTGCACGCCAAAATGGTCCAGTCGGTAGTACGAAAAATAGATATTAATACAATAGAATACAACTCAGCCACAAATAAATAAAAACCCTCTATGAACGCTCGCCGCGAAGCCGCCGTGCAAGAGCCAAATCTTTTGGTTGAATAGTAACACGCTTTGCGTGGATAGCAGCCAAGTTGGTGTCCTCGAACAATGAGACGAGGTATGCTTCAGCAGCTTCTTGAAGAGCCATCACAGCAGATGATTGGAAGCGCAGGTCGGTCTGGCAAAAGCGATCAGACACAAATGCAGTTAAGATATACAACAACCGACCTTGAAATCCTGTGCGATTTCACGAACAAGTCGTTGGAAGGGGAGCTTGCGGAATGAGCAGCTCTGTTGATTTCTGGTACCGACGGATCTCACGAAGAGCGACGGTACCGGGACGGAAACGATGGGGCTTCTTGACACCACCGGTGCTCTGAGACAGCTATTGTGAGAAGACTCCAATGGTTCAAAAAGATTGTACACACTGCTTGTGCAGTCTTGCGGGCAGCAGACTTGGCCTGCCAATTGCTTACGAGGGGCTTTCCCTAGTAGCTAATGAGCTCGAGTGTCTTGTTGTAAACGCAGAGTATGACTTACCACCAGTAGACTTGCGAGCGGTTTGCTTGGTACGAGCCATTGAAGTAGTTGGTGTGGAACGAGCAAGTAATTGGTAATTGGGAGAGAATGAGCATATGTCACCGAATGGGGGTGACCCTATATACAGACGCGTCGCGCTGTCACGTGAAAGGTCAATCAACAAACCGGATACGGATATTCAGCACAGCCACTTCCCGATGCTATAAAAGCAACTGTTGGTCATTTCGGCGCCCCACTCATTCCCGTTTTATCACACTTTACTCTCAACTCAATTGCACAATGTCTGGCCGTGGAAAAGGTGGCAAGGTAAGTCTTCTATTCACGCCACGTGTTTTACTCTGGATCTCATTTATTCTCAAGGGTCTCGGAAAGGGTGGTGCCAAGCGTCATCGTAAGATTCTTCGTGATAACATTCAGGGTAAGTCATTCGTCCACACTGGTCTTGTCATTTATCTAACTGGCATGTCTAGGCATAACAAAGCCTGCTATTCGTCGTCTCGCCCGTCGTGGTGGTGTCAAGCGTATCTCCGGTCTCATCTACGAGGAGACCCGTGGTGTCCTCAAGATCTTCCTTGAAAATGTGCGTCGACTCATATTGATGCCGCCATCTTCTCACCTTTCTCCATAGGTCATCCGTGACTCGGTAACATACACTGAGCATGCAAAACGGAAAACTGTCACCGCCCTTGATGTCGTTTACGCACTGAAGCGGTCAGGGCGTACTCTGTATGGTTTCGGTGCATAGACATTTCACGATTTTATCCTATTATTTATACTGTATCAGTACTGTAATTTTAACTCTTAAGTCCATGTTTGAAATTCCACGTGGTTCGGATCATCTGTCACTGTCACTGTTAGTCTAAACTTATCCTTTGCTCGGTCCTCCAACTTGCTGACGGTTAGTATGTCCGTGGTTTTACCGACTTTTCACGTATCTTTGGATGCTCTTTTCCCAACAACTGACCCCGGCTACGACCTCCTACTATGGACCACACCACCATGGCTATTGACCTAAACGGTGGACAGTACTTAGCTGCCAACTCGGCCTGGCGCACATTCTTACCAAATGAGACTCTTACTACTATCTGCCGTGGTCTATCGCCTTCTGTCTTAGCAACTGTTGCCCGTGTATCACGCCAGTGGAGGGGTGTCGCCGAATGGCTGCTATATTCAAACATCTTCATCTCAGAAACTCTCTCTGCCTCATCTTCACTCCCATACAGCACCCTTCGTTGCTGCCAGACCATTCGTCTACATTCACATCTTGCCAACGGACTCCGCAAACTTCATATCCGATGGAAATTAGAGTATGGTGCATACTATGCGCCAGACTTCGACATCTTCCTCTCTAATCTCACACAAGCATTAGCCCTCGCAACCAACCTCCAGTCCCTAGACCTACATCTCGGCCTGCCATCTCTGTCGGAACACCCAACTTCAACTTTTCTCTCATTCCCTGCTACCGATGCCTGTTATCACTCCCTCCGACGCGTCTCTCTCAGCGGCATCGGTCCCTTTACCCACAACCGCCTCACAAATTTTCTCAACATTCTCCCCGCCGTACGACATCTCCGTCTTCCCGACTATCACGATCAGATCACCCTTATTCCTCAAGCCCTCCCATCTCTCGTATCATTTTCCGGCTCCCCACGCGTAGCCGCTGCAATCCTACCAGGAAGACCCGTACAATCTCTTGTGCTCATAGGACAAGACTACATCCCTGACTTAGATCTATCCCAAATGGTCCTGACAAGCGTACCTCTTCGCCATCTGGATTTGTCATCCATGTTGGTTACCCCGACATTACTGCGAAATTTATCCAGGAACCTTAATACAGTCGAGACTTTGAAAGTGAAGCTTGCGTTGAGGCATACTTTGCATTTTGCAGGTATCGTGAGTTTTCTTCTTATCGAGGTTCCTGTTGTTGTTTCTTGCAGCCCGTTTTTCCGAGACGTTTTGTTTAGGCTGAAGTCGTGTTTTCCGTTCTAGGGCTTACTAGCCGCGCTTTCACACCTTCTCGGAGCATTTCGCAATCTTTCTACGCTCGACCTCTCGCCTACGCATGTAGACTATACTGGGCTCAGTAACAGCACAGAAGAACTCTCACTCTGTCGATCATGGCAGAATGCGTGTCCTTCACTACGACGCGTCGTCTTTCCCTCCCAAACAGAGTGGGCGTTCCAGGAAGACGATAATACGTGGGTGTCTGTTCTCGTAGGGGAGTTGCGGAGGCGGGTAAGTGCATGTTTAGGCTTTTGTGACATGCTGTTAACGGTGGATCGAATGCTGACTTCTCATTATCCCCTCGTAGCCCGCGTTCTACTCGCCCAATAAGTTCCTTGGGTCCTGATCTGATATACGTAATTGTGACATTCAGTATTGTTGATTGGTTTATGATTCCCTCGTGGCAATGCACAAATTTTGGATAGCAAGGGATGCAAGGGGTTTACCTGTAGGAGTCGGCTGAACTTATTTAGAGGTTACAGTCTGCCCTCCGACAGACGCAGTGACGTCGCGGGCCGAATTGCAAATCACTATATTGACTTGTCGCTTTACGAAGAACGGATGATTGCAATAAAATGATAGGGAAGTGACGAGACGTGGTGCGTGAAGCATGCTATCTGTCATACAGTTCCTCCTTGTCGACACAGATTGAACGGACACTACATCAGGAAAACCATTCCGCGCAAACTCAGATGCAAATTCAGACAGGTCAAGCTCTTACTCCTGCGCAGTGTCCGTTGGTGCTGCCCATGCTGAGATCACCATCCACTGAAGACGTGCTTGCCGTTCACGGAGAACATGACCAATGTCGTCGGAGACGAGTACTGGAAGATGGCGAGTCGATCAGAGAGCTGCCACAGACGGACATGACTTGAAGCGGCGAGCATGCTAACAGGATTTGACGATAATGGCAGTGATATCATGAGTGCGGCCCATCCAGGCATCAATTCAAAAAGCAACATGGTACCGTGCGCGATTGGTCAATGCTCGTGCATCCATTACTTAAATTCTGTCATCTCTGTGGTAGCGCTCAGTAACATCCAAGATGAGGAGTACTAGATCGACCGCACGGACACCGCATAACGTGGTAGAAACAAGCGCAGATACATAAATGAAGAGTCGAAGTTCTTCAATCGGCAAGGGTTGTTCGTCCTCCGAGGGTTTCGGCTGGTAATACTTCCTATCTACAGCAGCTGGACCCAGACTGTGATCCGAGCTAACACACGTGACTATGCTGAAAGGTCTGCGGCGGTCACAAACTCGAGATTATTGTGATAAGACCAGTGGTGACTAGCCGACTTCGAATCAACTCGGACCTCGAATGACGATTTGGATGGAGGAGTTATGCACTGCGGGTTCTGCGCCTTAATCTGCCAGCGCTAGCAGTGGTTTATCAGGTACCTTTTGCCATCGATACACAGACACTCACAAGAATTGATCATCCTCTCCTCCTGAACATGTCATGTTCAGGCCATTCCATGCACCTACGGTAGCGTCAAGCGTCGCGGTGGTGCTGCTGACATAAACTGATTTTTTTTATACACGTGACTAGGCGCGTCGCGATCGAGGTTGTTTATTTCGTGGCAGTGCTGAATTGACTGGTATAGCAGGGTATAAATACGGCGTGGCCGCGAGATATGTCTCTCATTTCCCGTCCCCGATTTACGTGCATTACTTTCTTCACTACTCATTCTCAACTTCAACTTCAACTCGCCTTACAATATGATTTCCGCTATCTTCGACGGTGCCGCCCATGTCACCGTCGCTGGGTGCCTCGGAGCATTCTTTTTCAAACACACTGTGGTGGATCGGACGTCCAAGGCCATCAAAGAAGCGGAGAACGTCACCGCCGGCCTGGTCATATCCGAATTCTGTATTTCTGTCGCGGTACTAGTTCTAGCTTCCAACGAGACCGCCCGGATACTCCTCAGTAAAGATGCTCAACCCCCTCCGAGGCACAATTTAGCCGAGCTCAACGCGCCTCTCATTTGCAACAAAGCGTCCGATTTCTCTACTGCAGCAGACCCAATTTTATCGAATCCAATCGCAATCGAACCATGTAGCACTCTGCCATCTGTACCAATCGAAACCGAACCTTGCAGCACTCCGCCAGACGTAATAATTTCGCCGAATCTAATCGCAAATGACTCTTGCAGCACTCAGCCATTTAATACATGTTCCACGTTATGCACGCCAATACTGCCGACTTCGCCAGTTCAGAACACGAAGCGCTTCTCAATCGATTCCGGCACCACCCTTGTTGACCACGATGACGACTTCGTGAAGGGTTTCTTTGATGTGGACCTTCGTGAAAGTACTATCTCCCAGGTATGATGTCACGCAGTCTGCCTATCTTTATCGCTCAATTTTTGAATTTTTATAGGACGACAGCGATTGCTTCAGTAGCGACCTACTCCCATGGACGAAAGCACTAACGATCAATAACTCGAGTGGACCCTCTCAGCGGACGCAAGTCCAGCCAATCACCCTGGAGGACGGACGCCTGACGACCACCGACGCTTCGCTTCTCGTGGACGCTTCGACTCAAACGATCGCGACGCCCTCTCTTGGCAGTACCCCAACTCAGATTGTCTCGCCTCAGCTGAAACCCCCGGATACGAAACGGCATCAAAATTTCCGGCCGGGAAGACACAAGGTATGGACATGTTCGTTGCGAAGCCAAGCGCTGCACTCACCGTCGTTTGTTAGCACAAATCTAGATCCGCTCGCTTGGCCGCTGTCCGTCGCAGCATCGAACGCACTCACTCCAAGCAACAAGAACACGCTACTGTAATCAGTGAGTGATTTCCGGTGACGTTCGCTTCGTCTGCTGATTTAAGATAGATGACCTTGAACAACTTCATGACGATCTCCTCGCCGACCAAACCGCTCTTGTCGACGGCTGGGCAGCTGCCATGGCCCAGCTTGGACTCCCCTCTATGCTGTCGCCTGCACCGCTGCTTCTGGATCAGAAGACGCCCGATCCAGGAAATTCGATCGAAGTCATTCAAGACCGACACCTTCACACACAATGCTACTCCCGAGGTCCCCTACGACCACATCCCGAAGATCCGCAATGGCCTCCCTCGCTGTCCCCTACGACCTGGAGCTTCATGCCCGCGAGGTTGAAGGCCACCGCTGGCCGCGCACAAACTATGTCTTCGCGCCGCCCGGTTATACCTGCAGTCTTCGACGTCGGATGTCCCCTACGACCAATCCCGACACAACCGCAACAGCACACCCGCCTCCTTCTTGTCTCAGAGCACTTGGAGTTGAAGGCCACCATCCGCGGTTCGCACATACGTCTATCTCAAGTCTCTTCTCTTATCTTCGCCATCGTGTAAATGGCCCTCGATTTATTTCTTTGTATTTGTATTTCTCTCACCGGTATCTACTTCGCAGATCATGGACTGCCTGTGACTTATGGACACGTCTCCCTTTTATCGATATGCACTCAGCAGACGTTGAACTGCTCATTTCTTTTGTAACTTGTAGGCACGATATGCCTTGTTTCTTTTACAGTACGAAATCATTTTTCCATCTACGATTTATCTCTTAATAATGTTTCTATATTTTCGTATTATATGCACGATGACGAGTATTACATGAATATCGGTAGTTTGCAGTTTCTAATCTGAATCCCTCGGAGTTCTTTCACTTGATGCGCTCTCCGGAGTCCGGAAGACACGCCGAGGCTCCAGTTTCTCCGTGCGAGCTCTCGGTCAACATCATTCACTTGCTATTCATTGATACCACCAACGTTGACACCCCACGGCGGATGCTCGAGCTCCTTCGTCTGTCTCCAAATCCCACAGTCTAAACGTCTCATCGTTCAAGGCTGTGACCATTCGTCCTCTGTCCAGGAAAATTGCGATTGCCCTGACGCATTCTTCGAGTCCTTTAAAACTTTCGCAGACTCGTGGCGCTTGGAAAAGAACTTTGTCGTTTTACTGGAGGTCGATGGCGTCGAGGCGTCTCTCTAAGCTGCAGGGGTGTGTGTAGTATTTATGCTGTATCACCGGCGCACTCACCTGCCATGTGCTCAGACGCGCAGTACGTTGAAGCGCGGTAGTGTGCATCCTATTGAATATCTGAGTACCGACTTGCGTGGGGCGCCGATTGCACCGGAGGGATAGCATATGCGCCGCGATAGCCAACAATTTTTGGCGTCTCTGGCAGAACATCGCCGCATACGTAACTCGTCTGAACGCATATGTCGCTTTGCCCTCGCCATAATCAGCCATGAAACCAGGATGTATTTCATTCACGGTACCATATCCCTCTGGTCAACTCCTAACGTGCATGCGCTTCAAATGGCACATTGCGGCTGAAAGGTTTCACTTCTCGTTTCTCGTACCGCTACCCAGTTCTGCAACGGAGGTCTTACAAGGTTCCATCGTATCCCACCTCGCATAGTATCACCAGTACATTCTCATCAAAGTGGATCTCCATGAAATTGATAACGCCGTGCGGGATCGTGAATGGCATATCCGTGCGTCATATCATCACCGACACGATCCCTCGCCGCCTCGAAGTGGATTATGGACCCGGCAGCTCTAGCCTAAAAGGAAACAATCACAAGTCTAACTGCTACTAGTACTGATGGCAGGGCAGACACGTAAACGAGAAACGAGGTCCAGCTTATTCCAGAAAGTGGGAAATCAGTCGATGTCGTTCGGAAGCGCATCTGCACAAGATCTACACGATGTACGAACGCATGGAGACTATGTGCTTAGGTTGGGTGACATTCAGAATACTACCTTGACAATAGTGTTACTCATGGTTCTGTTCGCGTACATTCAGACTGCAGAGAGCCAATTACTAAGGTGCCGATCGAGGAAACTGTTTTGCAGGGCAAGGATGGAGATGTTGGATCAGGGAGAGGACCAAGTGGGGTTGGGGCTTTTGCCAAAATGACATGTAAGCAGTTGTTCTATTGTAAGTATCCCGATGGCATATGGAAGACTGACGATCCCATCGCATCAATGCGCGGTCATTGTTGCATGTTTTCAACCATCACTACTATCCCAATCCCTCATCGTGATGTTTACCACAGCGCATGGTCACAGTGGTGTTTGCGTCCCATAACAAATGATTGAGCGGTCGATATACAACTTGTGGCTGTAGAGATTTCCGTCGATGTTTCGTAAGAAGTTGTTCAGCGGTAGACAAGTCTCCCGCTATGCATGCATTGCGATCAGTCGTGTCGATGGCGAAGATCTACGACGTGAGACATGCTCAGATTGCATTGTCATAATCAGTGATGGAATCGTTGCTTTGAATCGCAGACTTCAAATTGAACCAACAATGTCGGACTCGGAGGCGACGTTTGCTTGGACGCGTTGGAATACGGGAAAGTTGTCTTGGACTATCTGCATGGTAGTGAGATGTGAATAGGGAGCGATGGTGAATCAACCTTCGCTGACGTTTGACCCACAGCTCAACTCACTCCAGTAAGCAAGCACCCCCTGATCATTCACGAGATGCAAAATTGTACAACATCAATGTCATGCCATTCAATCCGATCCACAGATCTCCCAAGCTAATTATAAGTCATACACAATACTTGAAGGCTGGGTACATACATATCATCATCGTCCGAACTAGTACGCATGGATAAATAGAATCACAACCCAACGATTATGTCAAACGAGTGACTAGAAATCTGTTCCAAGACCAAAGCCACAGCCAGCCCAGTAGCTGACCTCCGGCAGTAAATGGGTATCGCGAGAGGGAAAAGAGAATCCGCGGCAACTTGTCTGCTCGAAGAGGGGCAGAGCCTAAGCACCCACTTCAGCTTCATCAACGAAGATGTCGGAGTAGTGGTCTAGAATTGTTTCGATCGCCTGTAAGGTATAAATCAACATAACAAAGCAGAGCCAAGGGTTATCAAGGCTTGATAATCACCTTGTTCTGGAAAGGAGCATCCGCCATGCCCCCGTTTCCATGACCCAAAAAACTCCCGTTACCGGGTATCATCTGACCAAAGAGAGTCTGTCCGAAAACGATGGCAAGATTTTGGATGGACATGGAATTATCTGCCTCGTACTCCGCGATCCTGTAGCACGGGGCCAATTGCTTTATCAGTGGAGATAAATGACGACAAGGGTGGACACACTTGTGCAAGTGCCCCAAAAAATATTTGAGTGTAGCGTAGTTCGGGTCCGGTAAGTCGTTAACTCGCTCGTGTAAACGTATGTGCCGCAGGCGATCGTTCTCGATTTCTGGAACTCCTGTGAGAAGTTGCCATATTTGCATAGCATATAGGACTTACTAGCAGCTTCCACAAAGCCTTGATGCAGGGTTGATGTTAGTAGCGGATCAGGAAGCTCTCTGAACCACATCTTGAGGACACTAGTCACATTGTTGATGTCCGATATCCACTCTTCCGAATCCAAGTTGACGGAGTCTATATCTGCGGAAATAGATAGCCGTAAGACTCCAGGGTCGCACAGAGCCGATAGATATGAACCTTTGTCTAAGCGCTCTTTCAGTGAAGCAACTTTCCGCGCCATGCCACTGATTCGATAGATGCCTTGGGATTGAAGACCATGCTTTTCAATAGCAGTACAACACTTTTCGAGGATCGCTGGAAGTTCAACATTGTCTCTCGCCATCTGCTCTGCAAGATCTACGCCGAATGTTGGCCGGCCCTTATCAGGTATTTGGGAGTTCTGACTACTCCCAACCGGAGCATTTGTATGAACAGAATATGCGCCACCCCCGTGGGTCGGCAGCGGAGGCAGCTGATAGTCGCATTAATGGAAATTCCAAAGAGAAAATGTGAATGACGTACAAAACCTTCTTCTGCTGGACCTTCACGTCGCGGACCACGGGGAGCGGTTCCACCACGTGCATATGCATAGTTCTGCATGTAGATCTTGAAGTCTGCTCGATTATCAATAGACTCGATCGTAGATTTCAGGCCGATGCCTATTTGATGTGTGATGAAGCGTTTAGTATTAATTTGTGAATAATGAGATCTTACCATCTTCTGGTGCTACCGGAACAAGAGTTGATCCGTCGCTTAGAACTATGCTCTCGAATAAAAATGCATATCTCGTCAAATGATATTGCGTCCCGAGGTCTATTTCGTCGGCACATTCTTTGAGAGCCTGTAAGATTACATCAGCCCCATCACGACGTCACATTTGATTTTACTCAACACGCAGTATCCGAGGGAGCTGGAAATTGAAGTATTCTTGTCTCATTGCTTGGGTATCAGTAAGTGCCTTGCGGTATAAGTCAGATGCATTCGAGACGCGCGTGCGGATGTCGTCTTCTTGTCTTTGTATCTGAAATGACGCGTGAGTGACTGTCGTGAACAGCATAACAAATGCCAACATTTCCAGGATTCTTCCCTTTGAGCAGAAGTCCACCTTTGGCTACTGCTTTTCCAAGTGCTCGTTTACCTGCGACTCCTCCCTGGTTCTTGGCCTGTAAACCACCGTCCTTCAGGGATTCTCCCTCCTTCTGAAGCAAGACTCGCTCAAGTTCCTCTGATGAGACTTCCAATCGATTTTTGGACTTTTCCATGTTCAACTCTGATTCTTGGAGGGCGCGTTCGTAGCGACTAGCCAGCTCCTTAGTCTAGGCAACGTCAAACAATGACCTTCAAGTGGAACGATGCGAAGTACCTGTTTTCTGTTCTTGTCCACTTCCTTTGCGAGCGAGGCCAGCTCATCGCTCATCTCATTTAGTCGCTGGGCAAAACGAATCCTGTTCTCTGCCATAATATCATGGATTTTCATGGATGACTGCCAAGCACCCACAAAAGACCTATGAATTGTGATTAGTGATACGCGAATAGTACTCAGTCCATATTTACCCAGCCTTCCCATCGTTCATAGAGTAGACTTCGGACGTAGTTCGTGCGAGCTTCTGCAAACTCTTCCCATACTCATCCTCCAAAACCGCTCTTTTCTTGAAGAAAACTGAAGCTTCCTGCCAAGGGAACTTCATGTAATGCCATTATCGAAACTCGACAAATACTCACGCGACACGAGACCATACTTTGTTTAATGCGATCCAGTAGTAAAGGTACACCACACTGGGGCGGTGCCAAGACATGTCAATGAACATGGCAGATATCACAAAGTTTTAAGAGCTTACGTCCAGCTCGCACAATACTCTTAATACATTCTCATCAAAGTTGGTCTCCACAAGACTGATAGCGTCGCTCGGGATCACGGATAACGTATCCTTGCGTTCAATCGTCACCGGCACGCTATCTCGCCATCTCGAGCTGGATGATCGACCCAGCGAATCCGAGCTTGACCTGGGAGGAGGTGATGACGGTTTGACTGGTAAAGACGACAAGGCAGGAGCAGTGGCAGATTCGTGAATGAGAGACGGGCTATTGGGCTGGAATAGGCCATAGTAGGGAGTCTGGCTAGCGTTAGGATCGGGATTATCAGTTGATTCCCAAGCAGTTGAGGAGTAGCCTTCGTCGGCCATGGCCACATTCAGCGCGGGTTGTACAGGCTCGGGAAGATGGCAAGCAATTGTCAGAATTCCGTGAGCAAAGTCCTCTAATGTGTGGAATAACTATCGTTGATTATGTAACTTTTCCAGAACAGGCATGTGTCGTTCGGAGAGCGTTGGTGCAGTGCTAACTTCCCCTGAACTGGCAGGGTTCAATA